TAAAATGCCAATGGGATAATGCACAAATTATTCTCAACCATGTCTTATTAGAGGAAGAAATCAGGGGGAAAAAAAAGCCAAGGATCTAATAAATAAAATGCACTCAATAGTCAATAACCCACATAGCTCAAACAAAGATTTTACCTCAACCTGTCAATCCCCACTTGGTGCATTTGAATTTAAATTACTATACAGAGAAAAGAAAAACTTGTCACAAGAAACAGAAGTAGCAATACATAAACATAAACTGTCATATCCCATGGAGTTTTGGAGTTTTGGAGTTTTGGAGTTTTAATTTCTACACACAACAGTTGTTTAAATCAACAACCAATAACCCACATAGCTTAAACAAAGATTTAACCTCAACCTGTCAATTGCCAATTGGTGCATTTGAATTTAAATTTCTAAACAGAGGAAAGGAAAAAATTGTCATAAGAAACAAAAGTAGCATTACAGAAGTATAGACTAAGAAGTTGATTTAAACAGAGCTTCGGAGTTTTAATTCCCACACATACACAACAGTTGTTTTAAATCAACAACCAATCAAAGACTCAGTACTCAAGTAGATGTTAAATTTACTACACCTTCCTTTGGATCAAGCAAGTATAATAATAAATTAGCTATCTTTCCTTCAATGATCAGGCAAATGTCTTTTCTTCAGTAAGACTATCAACCACTAAGTATGCTAACATACTTTTCAACCAAGACAAGAGAACATAAGAAATTAGACACAATATACTGCAACTTACCTTCCGGTCTGCAAAAGCACCTATTAATTTGATGATAACCAGCTACTAAAAAGTCCATTGTTATCATCACACTGAGCTGACTTCATCTTTTTACTTTAGAAGTAGTGTTTAACAAAACTTCAATGATAATTTGATTTCTTGTAAAACAAACATATCACACTGAGCTGACTTCACCATTTTACTTTATAGGATTAACAAAACTTAAATGATAATTTGATTTCTTGTAAAACAAACATATCACACCGAGCTGACTTCACCTTTTTACTTTAGAAGTAGTATTTAATTTATAGGATTAACAAAACTTAAATGATAATTTGATTTCTTGTAAAACAAACATATAACAATGTGAAAGTTTGTTAAGAAACCAAATATTACCAAAAGGGTGTCAAAGAAAACCTTTGTTGAATTCAGAGAAACATTTTGAACCAAACTGTTTTAAAACTGCTCTGGCGGGCAACTAATCAGACCTTTGAGGAAACAAATATAGAGGAACAAAAAATAGAAAGTGCAGCTTAATCAGACAATTGAAAAGGAACAACAAACCAAAAAAGCCGTACCCAGAGAAATAATCCCTTAATAGGGCAACAAAAATCTTCCCAACTTTGACAGACCTCAAAAGAATTTATCAAATAAGCAGAGCTCTGACCCAAGCGGATTGCAACATTCTTGTTACAAAGGAAAAAGTGTCATGAAAAGAGTGTTGATGATGAGCGTGGAATATTTTAAAGGATTAAGCCATTTGAAATTCTGGTAAACAATTTACTGAAAAAGGAGGAAATTTTAGGGTTCTTCCGGAGAAAATTGATATTTTGATAGGTGGATTTTGAAAACAAGATAATAGACTATTCAATTTGTGAATAACTTAGTAACATTAAAAAAAATTAAGGTTTAAATTCAAAAATTACAAATAAGCTACTTGATAGACCAAAGATGCAATTAAGCCCAAAGAAAACTGCATCACATACCTAGTTGAGGAACTCTACCATATATACAAAGACTTCTAAAAATGTGGAAATTTCAAAAGCAGACAAAATCAAACTTACATAAAAGAAACATTTGTTTTTTCCTTTGTTTTGGTATGACTTTTTTCTATTATTTTGATTGATTTTATTATTGGTACACGCTTATATAAGTATGGCTGTCAAACCTGCAAAATAACTGCAATAAATTAGGCTCATAGACTATTAACAGAGGCAAAAGAAAACAAAACTAGACAAAATTTTAATCATAGGGGTGATAGCGTCAAGACTTCTCACAATGGCAGTTATGGGCAGTTTTAGGAATAACTAGAGAAAAAATGAGAAACTGATTATGGGATAGTTTTTGAATGGTCTTGAGAGGGAAAGGCCAGGCTCTCGATTTCTCAGAGGGAGAGACCAAGCTCTAAAATTCTTAGACCGAGAAGAACAAGACTCGAATTTCTTGGATGAGAATTGTCTTTTAATAGTATACAATGTATTTCCTTAGTTTATGTGTAAACTATGTATTCTCTGTAGTATTTGTAAGTTTGTCTTTTTGTAAACATATTTGCCATAAATGAAAGTCAGTTATTACTATTAATTTGTACTTTGATGCGGATTCTATAAACCAGTATCAGAGCAGTAAGATTCAGGCGGATTAGATGTCTTCCGCGGGACACATGGAGGCATTCATGGAAATTCTGGAACGTGGGTTTGAGGGGCTGTTATCCATGAGAAAAACTCAGGAAAATTCCAGATTTTGAAACCATTTAGAAACCAGTCGCAACTATCATTGGATCAATTCCCTTCATTTCACTTGAGGACAAGGTGATTCTTTTGGGAAGTAGTGTTAGACTTCTCAAAATGCAGTTATGGGCAGTTTTGGTAAGTGATTATGTCAATTATACTGTTAAGTTTTAGGAATAAATAGAGACAAAATGAAAAACCGATTATTATGGGATAGTTTCGAATGGTTTCAGGAGGGAGAAGCCAAGCTATCGAATTCTTAGAAGGAGAGTAAAAATCTCTAACTTCTTGGTTAGGAATTGTCTTTTAATAGTATACTATATATCTCTTTAGTTTATGTGTGTACTATGTATTCTCTATAGTATTTGTAATTATGTGTCTGTTTGTAAGCATATTCTGCTATATATAAAAGTCGGTTATTACTATTAACCTGTACTTTGGTGTCGGTTTCTATCAAGTAGCAATACCAGATTGAACTTAGTATATTATCCACATCCCCATATTTCAAAAAAAGAAATAAAATGTCGTGTAAGAATTAAATTAAAACAAAGTAAAAACAGTATCTAATAACAATGGCTAGCAGCTCTTGAACACCAAGATTACGAACAAAATGGTCCACACAAACATAAAATTTAAAATATAATTTTTTCAGCATCCAACCCCTGATAGTAAAAATGTAAATATAGTTCAAAATACTGCTAAAAACAGTTCCATAGGTTTTTAGAAGATAAACTAAAAGTCAAAATAATACAATAACTCTAAATGAAAGAAATTATGAAAAACTAAGCGGCGAAAACAGAACACGGTTTGGTAATTTAAATATTCTGATCAGTGTACTAGGTTATATTTCATTTTAAACACGCCAATTGCATCAGCTCCTTAAACTTCAGAAGAATCACCAAGCCAGTAATAAAAGACTGATGCACTTATGTGGTATCTGCAAAATGAATAAAAATCACGATAAACAATTTAAGTTGAAAATAGAAAGGAATGGTCCAAAATATAAAAGCGTGAAAAACAATTTAAGTTGGAAATAGTAAAAAAAGGACCTAAAAACAAAAATTTCGCAAAACTGGTTGAGAATTACAAGTCAACCATCCAGCTCAAAATGATTAGACAATTGAACATGTTGGGAATATCGAAGGTGTGATGTAAAAGATTTTATTAAAAATACTTCAAAAATTACAATGTTATTAGCCAGAAACATTAGAAAACATCTATTCAAACAAATAAGAGGCTGTAAAAGGTTGAGAATTACAAGTCAACCATCCAGCTCAAAATGATTAGACAATTGAACATTTTGGGAATATCGAAGGTGTGACCTAAATATTTTATTAAAAATACTTCAAAAATTACAATGTTATTAGCCAGAAACATTAGAAAACATCTATTCAAACAAATAAGAGGCTGTAAAAGGTAGGTTTTAGTGAGATGAAAACAAGAAAAAATCTTTTTGATAAATTGTTTAGAGAAACCAAACAGATCAGAAGCATGACACAGAAGTTCATAAGAGTGAAACTCAGTTGAGTTCCTCAACTCGCAAGCAAGCAAGAATAAAATAGGACCACTGAAGATGGTGCATATAAGAGAGATGTGCGCAGAAATAAAAAATAAAAAATAAAAAAAAATCTGAATAATAGCAAAGTCAGTGCAAATCAAACTGAGACTACAAACAACAATAGAGAGGCTTCCAAAAAGCACTCCATGTGTGATAAACTTCAAGGATTCATTGCTTCACTTCCTCCCATAATTTCAGAACGCAAATAATCCAACTCTCCTTTACTCTCAAAAATATTTTAATCAAGCTAAAGTAATAAAGCTTGTCCAGTTTATTGATGCATGTCCCTTGAAAATAAAGCTATGTGCATTGAAGGAAAAACTATGCACACGTATAAACTCACAAAAGTTTCAACTATTAAAAAAAGTTACACATGATGATCATTGCTGTACAATGCGTCATAGAAATTATTAGGGGGGATGATCATTGCACATGAATGAACATTGCTAAGCATATCTAAGTGTGAAGTTGTTAATTCTCAATTCCAACGATATCAAAAAATATGAAACAAAGAAAACCCCTAAATTATTTTTTGGCTAAGTATGACTGTAGAGCTAGGAGGTGAAAGAGTAAGTCTATTCCAAACAGAGCATAGGAACTCCAACATACAAAAACACTAACAAATGATCATACAGTGAGAACTCAGGAAGCAAAATCTTGCGAAAGGGGGAATTAAGTGAACATAAAAAGACAAATCAAGGAACTAAGTGTTTGTTTTGTCAAAAACAAAGAGACGGGGAATAGAGTGAACTCATGATAATCAACATAACCTATTTCACACCCTTGAAAATTAGATACTTGGACTAGCCTAAAACAATAGCTTGCTTTACCTTTCTCCAAAATGCTTGCCTATTTCTCATCACAACACAAGCAAAAAATAGCATCCAACAGATATTAAAATATCAATAACAAGCTAAAAGGAAGGAGGATAAACCAATATTAAAGAGGAAAATAGAATACCAGCCATTCAACATACCTGCCACCCACTTAGTGCCCCATGTAAGGTGCAGCACCACCATATTGCCCTCTTCCGGAACCACCCTGTCCAATCTGCTGGTTTGGATATTGCACCTGCAACCCAACCTGTGGTACTGAATTCCCATATGCTCCCATAACTGATGGACTTATACTAGGCTGAGCACTGTATCCACTCTGAACTCCATGACCTGCAGCAGGAACACCTCCATGATTAAGAGCATTACTCGTTCCAAGACTTCCCAACAAATCACTCAGCCCCAAAGTAGCACCCTGAGATGCAAGAAGCGCCGTCAAAGCCTGTCCAAGTGCAGGCGTCAGCACCGGGTTCAGCCCCTGTGCAGCAGAAGCAGTGGCCTGGTTGTACCCGATTGTTGGTCCTGCTGGCGCCATTAAGTGCCCTGGTTGGCTAACTGCAACACTACTACCACCAGCATATCCAACATTGTCATTTCTCTGAAATTGTGTCCTCTGAGTCAATGGGTTCAGTTGGTTCAATTGATTCAATGAACTCAATGAATTCACGTGTTGTTGCTGCTGTGGTTGTTGATGTTGTGTCTTCCCCGCCTTAGGACCATCAATTGCCCTCTGGCAATGCAAAATATGTCCCTCAAATTCCTTATGAGGCTCCTCCAATGCCCTCCTTGCACTCTCAGCACTCTTATAAACAAACAAGCAAAACCCTTTCGGCTTTCCCGTCGTCTTGTCAAGCCCTAACGGCCCTTCCTCAATTTCTCCAAACCTCGAGAAATAAGCAAACAGCTTCTGCGGATCCAATTCAGGGCCAACATTGCTGATATAGATCTTCCTCTGCGTATACTCCGAGCCTTGCGGCACCAACTGCGCCGTCGGCTGCGGAGTTTGCTGCACAGGACCAATAGACGCCAGCTGGCACGCCGTCATCCGGTTCCCAATCTTCTTCTGCGGTTCTTTCAAAGCATTCCTCGCCCCACTCCGCTTCTTGAAAAGAATAAACCCATAACCCTTAGATTTCCCAGAAACCTTATCAGTAACAGCTTTACAATCCTCAATTTCACCATACTGCGAAAACGCGTTAATTAGGGTTGCGGAAGTGGTGTCCCATCCCAAACCATGAACAAAAATCTTCCGGTGCGACGCATCTCCGTCAGCAATCTTACGGATCCTGTCCGCAACATCGCGATGCTTAGACGCCGCCTCGCAAAGGAGATTCACGATCTGCTCTTTGGTGAAAGGCTCAACTAGATCCTTAATCGGTTCATCGTCTTCTTCTAGGTATTCGCCACCTTGAGCTTGTTCTCCGCCGTCCTCCTCCTCCTCCTCCTCTTCTTCTTCCTCCTCCTCCTCTACCTCCTCAACCTCTTCATACTCTTCCTCAACTTCTTCATATTCTTCCTCGACTTCTTCTGTGGGGATATACGGTTCCGGTTCGGGATCAGGTTGAGGCTGAGAGTGGTGCTGTTTGAGCGGTGGTTCCTCTGGTTGAGAAGATTTAGCTACGAGCTTTCTCTTTCTCACCATTGTTTTGTTCTTCGCGTGAAGTGAAGGTGGTTGCTAGGGTTTCAGATTGGGAATTTAACACAATCTAAGAAAATAACAGTGTGTGTATATTACAATTTTTTTCTCTAAGAAAATAACAGTGTGTATATATTACAATTTTTTTCTACATCCAAAAAATATCACACTTTTTCGGTCAAAATAAATATCACACTTTTGTAGTGTTGACAGTTGTTTTTTTTACCGGTTACGCATGATAATTTTTTCTTGGGTGAAATTCACGTGTTAAATCAGTTTAGATTTAAATATGTACTATGGTTTTGCGGCTGTGCTGTCTTTATTTTAGTCTTGTAAATTTTATTTTGGTTTCTATTCTATATGTTATTTTGTTTTTAGATGTTTGTTCTTTTGTTTTAATTTTTTATAAAATTGATTTATGTAATATGTGTGTATATTTATATTTTTTAATATTAATGATATAAAATTAAAATAAATATTTCATACATACTTTACTGTTTCTCAAAACCAAATAAATAAAATTATAAGCATTAAAACATAAAAGAATAGTATAGTAACATAAATCAAATATATATTTAAACAAATAGATTTATAAAAATTATTAGGTTTATACTTATGTAGTCTAGACTTGAGCATACATGAAAAATATCACAATGAAAAAAAATTTCAAAGTCAAACACTTAAATGCTCCAACAAATAACGGATGGATTAACGCAAAAAGGGATCTAAAGACATTTGACATGTTTTGGTTTGGTCTTTTGGTTTATCCAAATTCAATATTTTGATGGCACGGCCTACCACTTTATTTTGGACTATCCTCTTGATAATAGCTTCATTCGGGCACGTGGAGGGTGTCTCGACACTCCACACTTGTATTTCAATTTATTCTTTTCGACACCAATATCATTTTATACTCATTATCACGTGATACATCTAAGTAGTCAATATTCATTATTGGTTCACATTAATTCATGTCCTAAGGTTACCTATGATTCTTGTTTTACCTCACAACCATATATTAATCACAACCATATATTCATTATTGTTTAACACTGGTATCTGAATACCAACTGGCGGTATTCGACTACCACTCTTTCAAAACCAAAAAGACAACTTTTTACATCATAATCTTGTATGCAAACAATTCCTAAGGTTCATCTTTACCACATACATGTTCTAAGGTATACTCAAAAATATTCAAGGGTAGAAAACAAGTATGCATTCGTAATCAAGCCATCAAAATACAGACAAATCAATTTTCAAACATGCAAACAAGCAATTTCATAACCTAGGATATCCATTTCTCCACATACAACTCGAGGTTGAACTATCTCAATCATCACCTAAAGAATCTCATATTTCAATTAATGAAATTATAAATTTGAAGAAGAATGGTGATGATCAATTTGTTTGGATGATCTTTCATGCTTTTATTTTTCCTCTTCTTCAATGATCAATAATCCATGATGACTTTCTTAGTAGGTGTACTAATATGGTCAAAGTAATAAAAATAAATTCGTCTCCCTATGGATTGCAAATTTAAACAAGGTTGTAATCGTGTGATCTAAAGAAAAATGGTGGATTTTCATATTTAAGTTGCAAAAAAACAATTGCATGAATAAAATTGATAAGAGATACAATAATGTGAAGGTGATTAAATATTATTTGAATCCTATAATTGTCCCTTGTTGATGAATGTGCATTATACACTTAGATCTCCTAATTTAACTTCGAATTCGTCAAAGGAATTAGGAAACTGTAGTGTAAATTAGTGAGTTGTACACATAGCAATTGGGTACAGTGGCATGGTTAATTCGTCGTAATATTACAAAGTAAATTTTACTTCTCTAGCCACAATTTATAATTAAATATCCCTAGTTAATTACTTAGTTGAACAATATGATATAATTCAGATCAGTAGACTTATGGTCAACAATCCTTACTCATCTAATTTTGTTTTGTGTACTCGTTAACACACAAATAACATTAAGAGCAAAAGCAATTGAATAACAATTATAAGGTAAAAATATTAAATAACATCAAACATTCATATGATCCAACAAAGTACAATTAGTTTCATCTCCTAAGATATAATAAAAAAAATCTAGCTACTCATAGTGTAACAATTAATCACCATGAGTTGATATAAGAAGAACATGGAAAATCAATAAATAAACTTGTCTCCAATAGCTCCAAAGCACTCCAAAATTGCACTAAAAATTCTCTTGCCGTCACTTTCTCCTAAAAATCCAGAACCCTAAAAAATAGCCTCCTTTTTATATTCAAAGCGACAAAAAGTATGCCAGGATTTCACATCATCGCGACCGCGATAGTTTGCATGACAATAGTGATACTTTATCATCACGCCCACGATGAGAAAATCACAGTTGCGAGAAGTCCAATGGCAAAAGCTTGTTTTTTATTCCTTTTTTCTTTTATTTTTCTAAGTCCTAACTTCCTTCACCTTTGGCACTTTTGCTCGCTTCTTCATCATTTTAGTTTGGCTTTCGCTTATAATTCCACCAATTTAATCAAAAATACTTGTCAATATTACATATTGACATAATTTCATCACAACCCCAAACTTACTCAGTTGCTTCTCCTCTAGTAACTTTGTTGTAAACTGGAATTTTCATCAGAAACAAAATGTTTACCCTTACCAATGAACATCACCTTTCTACTTTTTTTTACCAACATGTACGTTCACTGCTTCAATCCAACTAATTCTGAAAAATTCTTCCAACATCACAGGTACTCAGCATGTCTTTCATCTCACATTTGTTCACTCAAATTGACATGGTAATCACACAATCAATATGTAAAAGTATTTTATCATAAGTTTGCAAATTGTATAACAAAGTCAATTAAAGTTATATTTAAACACACACTTCTGAGATCTTTCAAGGTTGTAACTTGGCTTATATCAGGGTATGATATTTGGGATAATAGTCTTAAACCTTTAGAGTTAGGTATCTAGTTTTTCTTATGTTACCGTGTTACTTTCATAACTATCTTTTGACTTGTCAATTGGTACTAGAGAATGCGCTTTGTTAGTCCTATTCATGTTTCTTTTCTTTTTCATATTTTTTAAGAAGTCATTTTAACTTCTTATTTTTTTTATTTCTCTTTTCTTTTCTTTATTTTGACCAGTTTCTCTATACCCTTACCCCAAACTTATATGTTGTTAACTTGCAAGAGCAACTCCAAACTTATTCTTTTTGCATTGGCCAAGGAAACTAAACTTCCTACCTAAGTCCAAAGAGGATGTAAAGATTGAATCTTTCAAGTAAAATGGCTATGTAACAGGCTACTCACCTAAAGAAAAGGCTTAGACTCAAAGTGGTTAAACAATTGATATAAACATTTCAATCAGGTTGACTTAAAAAGAATCAAAGTTTCCACAAACAAGTGTCTTAGTGTGTATTTATCACACCAATAGACTAAGTAGAAATAAAGAAAATTCTAGAAAATAACAATTTTACAGATACTCTTATAAGAAGGAAAAGTAAATAGTGGAATTTTTTGCTCAAATCTTACTAGTTGAGGTATCTGGAGATTAAGTACAATTGATTTGACTTTCCCTTTTCCTCATCAAATATCAATCTGCAATGGGAACTTCTATGTTGGTCAACTTTTGTTCATTCTTTATGGTGAGTTCTTTTTTTTCTTTTTCACTGTGTCACTGGTAAGGTAGCATATCATAATTGAAAAAACCAACAATAACAACAAACTAGTTCATTAATTAAAGCATGGATATGTAGTACAAATAGGGAAAACAATATTATTAAAAGCTAGCTAATACTTTTAGTTGGATCATAGTACAATGATGGAAATAAAACAAAACTGAAAATCTTAACATATGTTTTCAGAGTTGAAATAGTTGTGCATATCATCCGTGGTATCTCATAATTCTTGGTTTTGTTTGGTCTAAGTTATGCTCATCTCAGTTCTTTAGTGTGTCAGAGTTTGGCCTTGCCCTCAAAAATATGTCTCCATGTTTTCAGTAGATACAAAGCATTTCCTTAAGTTTTGAACCGGCATATGGTATCAGGGCTCATTATAGAAAGCTTGAAAACTCGATCTAAATCTGGGTGATTTGGTATAGAAGTTGGGTGAAATTTTAGTAGCTCAGCTTGTCATACTGAGCGCATGCTCCTATAACCTTTGCCAAAGATCAGGTGTTTGTTGTTATTGATGAGGATATCCTTCTGTTTGTTGGATCTCTGGATGATAGTATTGGTCTTACTCTTCATTATGTGCTTCTTTTTGTCCGCCTTCATGAATAGGATGTGTTGGGACCCTTCTCATGGCACTTTGGTTTATTGGAAACATCTGGCTGATTTTCTTGTCATCAGGGTGACTTTGAACTCCAACTAACCTACATAATTCATTAATAATACAAAAATGCTCACAAGCTTATTGTGGTGCGTCATCCATAAATTTGATATTTTCAGCAATTAACAATCCAACATTTAAAGGTTCGTAGTTTAAGATAGACATAAGGGACATACACTACTTCATAATAAATTAATATTGATTAGAAGTAGATTTTAGAGTATGCACAATAAAACATGCCCACTACTACAAAAAGTATATATAATAACGCCAGTGTTGCCACAGCCTTTTGATAGACCGTGGTGGTGTCTCTAAATTCAGGAGATAGTAAATTGTTTTATTTTTTAATTAAAAATCGTAAACTTATTACCACTTGTTTAGAACAATCGCGATGATATCTTTTACCTTTCTTGAGTTTGATTCTCAACACCAACAAACTCGTTATTTTTTCTTTATTTTAGTTGTGTATTTCATTTTTATATATTTTTAGATAAAAAAAAAAAGTGATATCACTACAATTATTTACACTAACCGTTGTGATATATTTTTCATTTTTTTGAATTTTGAAATACTTAAATCCTGACATTTTTTATATAATTATATTAACGTAAACCATATATCACCACCATTTTTTAAACCAACCATTGTGATACATTTTTCTTTTTTTTTTT